TTGCCAGCTCACAAGGATATTTCGCCAGAAAATATCGCGAAGGTCTCGAGATCCAAAAACATCCGAACAATCTCAATAGTGATCGAGGATACCAAACCAATCCAATTTGGCACACCGTCCTCCCGGTTTTTTAATTGACCAGCTGATCAATTAAAAACATCTTGATTGACTGGGATACTCCCCACCACTCTACCTACCCCCTCCAGGGATCAGGGGGTATATAAGGACTTCCTTACAACGGGGAGCTTCAGTATCGGAGCAACCTAGCCCTGATGATGCAGACTGAAATGTTTGTGAAACGTCGGAAGCCATCATAATTAATAATAATATTGGCCGCGAAAGCCTAAAAACTCATGTCAGATGGATCTTCATCCCTGACAACCAGGACAGTGCGAGCAACAGCTCAGATCCTGTTGTGCTAGACACATCTGCGCCTGACGCACTCGCACCTTAGGCTCCAAGCCTTGTTCCACTATTTCAATATTTGAATCTGCACTTGACGCATTGATCCAAGGTTCCAAGCCTTGTGCTACTATTTCAATAATTAAATCTGCGCTTGACGCACTGATCCAAGGCTCCAAGCCTTCTATTACTATTATGATAGGTACATCTGCGCCTGACGCATTAAAGTAAGACTCTAAGCCTTCAATTACAAATGCAATGGTTGCATCTGCACCTCACTCATCATTCAAGGCCTCAAACCTACAAAATAATATTCCACCTGAACTCGATTCAGGAATATAGGAGTTCCTGGGTCATCGAAGCCTCATGATGCCGAGATCTCTTTTCAGAGTGATCTGAAAGCTAGTTGCAGTTTTTGGCTCGTCTCGAATTTGTTGAGGCACAAATTACACAGATTTATGGAAATATCCACCAAATATGAATTCAGAGATTGCTTTTATCTCCACCGAACTGTTGATCCATAGAGATAAAGAATTTTTAATCAATCTGGCAAGACACAGGTTCTGCCCTCGTGGCATTGGGGGCGACTCCTTGAAGTCTGATCTAGGAAGAGAAACTAGACAATCTAGTCCTCTTCCAGAAGTTGTGTGGTTCAAGAAAAATAATAAATTTTTAGTGCCCTTGAGGCTACAGCTCCAGTTTAATTTTTGTATGGCTTCACATTTTTCGGGAAGCTTGAGAAGATTAAAATAAATCTTCAAAATTATGTCAAGGTTTGGAGATTTATCCACCTTTACAGGAGAATCTAAATTCATTGGATTCAAAGGAGCTTGTTTTGAGACGTAAAGTTAAAACAAACGGTTCAAAAACCTTGCATGCCTCATGTTGAACAACATGTCCAACCGGAGGCATTTCCTCAATCGTCCCAATGATTCGTCTCCAGAGTTATCTTACTTCAAGAGAGTAAGAAGTAATGGCAAAAATCTCTGCAGCCATTCTTGAGCATCTCCTTCCCAATGGAAATTAAATTGTTCTAATAGTATTATTCTAGAGAGACTGAAGAGTCATAAAAGCCTCTTCAATTCTGGCCCTTACCAATCGGTAATTCCTCCAGAATTTCAAATCTCTGAACTAAAAGGGACAGTCTTGAGGGGCGAATAAACAGGTATGTGATTATAGAGGTAGTTAAAACCTCTGTATTACTATCAGAATCCTAACAGGATCAGCTCGTCTCATTGTAACTTTTTGTTAGTGAACCACATGATTAGCAATGGTTAATTTTTCATATTAAAAGGGTGAACAAATTTATGACAACTCTTAACTTCAATTGAAGGACATGAAAACCCTTCCAAAACTAATACTTTGTGACACATTCACGGATGGAAATGTCTTCAAAGTCGTATATTTTCTGCCCCGGTACATGTGGAGCATGAAAAGTTCCATTGTTTTGGTATGGGTGGTATTTTTCCAATTCCTACCCCCCATTTGGAATTGCGACTAGTTCTCTAGCTTCGCCAGAGCCATGAGGCCGGTCATGAATCTTATTGATTCGGAGGCTTCATATCATCCAGNTCTGCCCCGGTACATGTGGAGCATGAAAAGTTCCATTGTTTTGGTATGGGTGGTATTTTTCCAATTCCTACCCCCCATTTGGAATTGCGACTAGTTCTCTAGCTTCGCCAGAGCCATGAGGCCGGTCATGAATCTTATTGATTCGGAGGCTTCATATCATCCAGTTATCTAGATGATATTTTATTATTGGTTTTCCGGCTATTGAGTATGGTACAAATACAAAATTAAACTGTCAAGGCTCTTTCTTGTCTGAGCCGTATTAAAAAGCAAAAAGCGTGGTGAATACCTTGATTTTATCAATTACTCTTACAAGTTTTGCCTAGAAAGAAGATAAATTTTAAAATTTGGATGAAACTGGGAAATTTCTTTCCAGTCAGGACGATGTTTGGATTTCTTGAATTGAATGATCGCCCTGAGAGTAGGATCCTCATTTTGGAGTTTAATCCAATCATGATCGTTATTGGTGGAACAAATAGTTCTGAAAACTACCTTGGAAGAATTCTCAGTAGCATTTGCTTTGGTACATGACTTACATGAACAAGGACGGCGGGATAAAGCATCCGCATTGCCATGAAGATATCCTGGACGATGTGAAATTTCAAAATCATAGGAGAAGAGAAATTCCATCCATCGAGCAATCTGATCGACCGGTTTCTTGAATGAAATAAGCCATTTTAAGGCAGCATGATCGGTACGAATCAGAAATCTCCTATCCAAAAGATAACGGGAAAAGGATTCAACGGCTTTAATAACAGCCAGAAGTTCCTTTCGAGTTACACAATAGTTCTTCTGTGAATTACTCAAACATTTGCTTTAGTAAGCGATAACTTTTTCCTGACCATCTTGTACTTGAGAAAAAGTAGCGCCTATGGCGAATTGTGAAGCATCCATATCAAGGATGAATTGACCAATTGGAGAAGGTGTAGATAAAATTGGAGGGGACGTCGAGAGTCTTTTCAACTCATTGAAAGCTAATTGGCAATCATCAGTCCAAATGAAAGGAGTTTTGATATCTGCAATTTAGTGCAGAGGTTTAGCAATGGAAGCAAAACCTTTGATATATTGTCGATAATAAGAACAGAGACCAAGGAAACTACGTAAAGAGGTTTTATCAGAAGGAAATGGCCATTAAATAATAGCTGAAATCTTTTCTCGGGAACAATTAATTCCATTTTCAGAGACCAAATGACCTAAGAAGAGAACTTCCTTCTGAAAGAAGAGACATTTCTTATAGTTCACTTTGAGATTGGCGAAAGACAATCTATCAAAAACGATATGAAGATTCTGGAGATGTTCTTTGAACGATCTACCAAGAACAAGAATTCCATCTAGATAGACTAAACAGATTGTCCAGATGAGATATTTCAAGATGAAATTCATTATACGTAGAAAAATAGCGGGGACATTAAATAACCCAAAAGGGAGAACTTTGAACTGCCAGAGTTCGTTACCGATACAAAATGCTGTTTTTTCTTCATCTTCAGGGGCAATTTCAATTTGCCAATAACCACTTTTTAAATTGATGATTGAAAACCAACAGAAACCTCTTGTTGCATCAAGAAGTTCACCTATGGAAGGGATGGGCATAGAGTCTTTTTTGGTAACTCTGTTGAAAAGACGATAGTCCGCACAAAATCGAGGAGTGTCGTCCTTCTTTCTCCTAATAATAATGAAGAAAGTCTGATGCCAAATCATGAAATATTGGACTTATAAGATGTGTTCAAGCAAAACTGACCGAAACTTACAGACCATAAATAATGATAATTTAAATGAAAAAAATGAGAAAGTACAACATTAGTTACGTAAGTTTTATAATTAGTATATTTAGTCATATAATTTATTGAAATATTTTGAGAAAGAAGAACTTCTCCCTAAATAAGAAATGACTTTTTTGACAAAATAACTTTTATTTGACTTGTTCTTCCACTCGACGCGGCCTGGGTCAGAGGCTGTCGAGGCTCAAATTTGACAATAAATAGCCTGGTGGGCGCCAGTTAACTTAACAAAATTAACAAATACTTTAAATACGATATTTTTTGAACTCTTACGCAGGAGGACGTTTTAGAAGACCCTAGGATGGGAGAAAAAAAATTTCCAAGAGAGAAAGAGAAGAATTGAACAGAATGTACAAGTTTATTTACTTACGAATTGACTGTCAGAAACCGACTCTCGGTAGACTCACGACACTTTACAATGGTTTTAGACAATGTGAAAAAATATTAATTGGAAACTGACAATGAATAAACTGGTTATTCGGATTTAATACGCTAATACAATCAATACAACACGTGAGATGTAAGAACCATCACGAGAGTGATACGCCGACGTGCCTGCTCGACACTTGTTGCGGCGCCGAAAATCAATAATTTGGCGCCTGCGCGTTTGACTAGTTAACCGTCCTAGATGGCGTGGACTCGCGCTCATTTTGAAACATCAGTTCAGTGTCTATTTTCCTACAATTAATCCAATACTACTTTGGTGTTGGATTATGCGGTTAAGTCAAATGGACTTGACTCAACCTCACAATCCCATTGACAGTATGAAACCCTATGGTTTCTGATATTGACGTCAAATTCAAAGACTTCCTGTTACAATTTACTTTCAGTGATACTTTCCGCCATGACTGTTCCCACGGACGAAAAAATTTAATAGGAAAACCTATCGAATTCGTTGGAAAATTCTATTGAACTTCTATTGAACTGTTCTATTAGTTTTTGGCTAATTCTATTGAAATGTTCAATAGAAAATATTCAGCAGAAAAAGTCAATAGAATTCAATTTTTCTATATAACTTATTCTATTGAGATATTTTCTATAGAATTTCCTCGGCTCAAATTTTCCAAGTTTTTCCGTTTGATTTTCTTGATAAGAAGAAAAAAAATACAATGAAAAAAACTGAGAAAATTCGAATCGAGCAAATTCTATAGAAAATACATGAAAAGAGTAAGCTATATAGAAAAATCGAATTTTATTGACTTTTTCTATGGAATGTTTTCTATTGAACATGTCAATAGAATCAGCCAAACACTAATAGGAAATTTAATAGAAATTCAATAGAATTACCTGAAGAATTCGATAGGTTTTCTATTGAATTTTTTTGTATGTGTCCTTAAACTTTATGTACTAATATTTTCATTTATCGACTTTTCGTACGCTTTAGTGATGCCGCAAGACAAAACAAGACAAGAATTACATAATTCTTATCTTGTAATTTTTGAGTTTTCTCTCGTTTTGTTTTCTTCCCATTGGCAAGAGGAAATTCGTCTCTTGTCCTGTTAGATATGAGCAAGAGAAAAAAAATTCTTGTCTTGTCTTGCGTTCTCTTGTGCACCTCGACAATTCTATTTTTAAATTTCGTGAGATTAATAAATTGAGTTTTCCTCGTTTAACTCGTATGGCTAGTGATTAGTTGACAATTTATGCATCCAGTGTTCCTTCAGAACGGTTGTTTTCAAAAGCTGGTCTCATCATCAGAAAACACCGGAGTCGATCGAGTAACAAAAATGTTGAGTACTTGCTATGTATGAATTCATGGTTCTCAACTCCACTAGGTCCGATCATAGAAGATGCGCCATTCGAGAAGAAAGATTAATCTAATGGAGGAATACATAATTCTTCACAATATCCAAAGATAGATATAGTGTTATTTAAGATAATGGTCTTATATTATTGATGACTTGAGAGTTTTTGATGAATTTTTTGATTAATTATTTTTTTCTTGCTCCATATCTCTTTTTTTCTCTTGCCTCTTGTGAACGTCCCTCCTGCCTTCCCTTGGCCTTCTTACCAAGAGAAAAATCTGTCTCTTATCTGCTTCTTGCAGTAGTTCTCTTGTATTGTTTCTCTTACGCTCTTGCGGCATCACTAGTACGCTTTGTCTTTGTGAAATAAAAACAAAAATGAAAATAAAAATAAAAATAATAATAAATCGAATTCAATGCCACTTCTTATGAGAATTACCACCAGATTGTTCATGAAATTTCAATTTTTTCCAATAGTGATGTATCGATTTTCCATGAATATGCGATTTTAGTGATTTCTCACCATGGAAATCACTAAAATGCTGAATAGCAAAATGTTACGAGTCTGTTTTGATTTACCACGGCAACAAATAAAAAATATGTGCGCAAAGCTGCATCGTTTGTACGTCAGATGGTACTTTTATTGTGTTCCATTACAGAGTTAGTGATGATATTTATATCTTTTCTCTTATCATTAAGCAGATCTCATCATCGCTTATTGCTATTGTGAAAGTTTTAATCGCACAAGTTAACGGGTCGCAGGAGAATACAGAAAGAAAGAGAGAGCGTAATAGGATCGTGAGTCGTATGAGAATGCTGTCATTTATTTAAACACTTAATTCTTATTATTTTTACGACGGTAATTCCCTCTCTCGTGATAGGAACCAGACGTGCATCGGCTCGCTCTTTCCCTTCATAGTAACGGGCCCTCGGTACTCCAAGAGGAACTGCGGATCCTGATTCTCGGGCATGCAGAGGTATCTGAAAAATTAATACGGTCTTTAATGATGATTCATATCTATGCAGATTCACGGTCTGCCTATGTTTCTCGTTGCTGGAGTTTTCAAGCGCAGACGAAAATGAGAGATAAGGAAGTTAATAAGGTGATGAATCATCAGAGGTGATGTATCGTTGAAAATTTATGAGAGGAAATGGGGTAAAGAGTCTCAAGAGTCGTAAACAGGAGTTGATGGATAACAAATTGCAGGTAATTGGAGATTTTTATGAAGACAAATAATTGATTTATGGCGATTTTGAAATTTTGTTTCAAGTGTCCTGAGACAATAGAGGGAGTTCTACGGATCTTCAGTTAAAATTAGATCTCTGATTGACAGTGGGAAAATTTAGATTGAGGTTTATGTATTTTTTTCGCATTTTTAAGATAAGTTTTTAAAAATCACATCGAGTGTTCTGGAAGTACTTGAATTTTGAGTGAATATACTTAAGCCGATGTTCACCGATAGCGAACTCATAATTTTCCAATAATACTGTGACATTGGGAAAATGCGTTTCTCTCTATATAATAATTTTGTAAATTAAGACAACGCAAAAATTTTCAGGGTTCACCAGGGTCAAAATAATGGTCACAAGGGTCAAAATAAGGGTCATAAGGGCCTAAATAATGGTCGCAAGGGTCAAAATAAGGGTCACGAGGGTCGAAATAAGAGTCACAAGGGTGAAAATAAGAGTCATTAGAATCAAAATAAGGTCACGAGGGTCAAAATAAAAGTCACAAGGGTCAAATTGTTGTCATATAAGGATCATTTGGGGCTCAACTGAGAGTCATCTTCGATATAATCCACCAAACATACTACTGTCGGTGTCAAAAGTAGAGACCACTCGAAATAAACGTCTATAACTCAGTGAAAAAAAATCGTAAGAATATGAGACTAAATACACTATGTAATATAAGTATTTCGCTTGCCCAATACGGAGTTTCAAGTTTTTAATTTGTTTAGTTTATGTATAATCGCTGTGAGAAGCCGAAAAACCCCCCGATTTTCAGGGTCCGTAAAAGTCGGCAAACTTTGAACCGCTAGCAAACGTACGAAATTTTTTTTTTTTAAATCGTCAATTTTTTCAGAGATTCGTATAACCCCTGAGAAGCCAACCAGGGAAGAAAAAGATCGAAATTGCGATAATTATTCATTTTATTCATAGAAATGTCGACTGCGGCTAATTCGTTATAGAATTGCCGAGCCGACCTGAAAAAAAACAATGCATTTTGAGTTCAATGTAAAACACATTCGGTCAATAGTTTTTCAATAAACAATCTCCGTTGATTTTTAAAAAAATCAAGAAAATTTGTCAAAAAAAGTGCTGTTAAAACGATCATAACTCGTTATGGGGTTTATGGGCCCGCTCACCGCCAGTCCCGCAAAATTAAAAACGCATGTGCGCCCGGCTACCTTTTTCAGGGGCGTCGATACCAGTTTCAGCCGTTTGGGCCCTTTGGGGCGCCAATATACTGTACATTGCTACTTTCCCATTAAAACAAAAATACGAACACGAATATTTTTCTTCTTAATAATTGTATCATTAATTATACGTACTAATGGGTTTCATCAATATTAATCATTTGAAACATGTGGCTGCAATTAATTATTATTTGTTATTTTTAAATATAAACACATCCACTGTTCTTAGCATTACCCAGGGTCAACGACGGGGACGTGGCTGTGGTCATGACCCCAAAAATAAATTATTTCCTATATTCGGTCCCAAAATTTTGGAACGAATACTGGAATATCATTCAATTCTTATTCAAAAATTTGCTGTCGTAATGAATTTGAAGTTCATTTTGCAGAACTCATTGATACTTGAATGATCGTATTAATGAGTGATAGTGGTTAATAATAATAATAAGAATACGCTAATGAATTCAATCTATGGGCGAATTCGCCAAATATTGGTATGGTTTTGTACCTTAAAAATTTTAATTTCGTTGAGGCTTTTCACATGGTTTTTCTTATTATTAGGAAGATCCGCAGGGATTTTTTTTTCAATTTTTTCCAGTTTTGATATGCTGACTACATCAATTTTTCTATTCCGTGAGTATTTGACGAAATTTTTAGTATCAGTAGTTATCAATTTTTTAATGGAAGATTTCAAAAATTGAAATAGTTAAAATATATTTTCTAAAATCAATTTTGGACAGAAAGGATCGGAGTGCCACTTTAATTTCTCAGTATGTTTTGTAAAAAAGGTCACTTTGGGTAAGGAGAAAAGAAAATCTGCAATCATGGTTGGGGAAGACGGTACAAAGTGCAATTTGGTTCTTTTTGGCATTTTTAAAGCATTTCCGATGGTGTGAGCTAATTGAAACCATACTCAATTGGAAGAACTGAAAATTTCTATCGGAAGCACATGTCAGAAAATGTGGAAAAAATTTACCTCTACTGAAACCAAAAATTTCGTCAAAAAATCAAGAAACAGAAGAATTGACGTAATGAGTAACAAAACTGGAGAAAAAATGAAAAAAAAGGATTTGGTCTTTTGAATCATATGTGAGGAACCCTCACAGTTTATATTTTACTTTACAAAGATTCATTTATTTTATGCACAAAACCGGTGAGGAAATATTTTCTAAGATTTTTGGAATTAAAAGCGAAACGGAGTAGAATACGGGGCAACGGAGGTTTAAATTTAGTTGCGACAAACGACGCTAGGCGATCGAGTGGCGCAGGGCTTTCTTCTTGTGATTTAGTTATGGAAAGTTGATAAGTTACGGCCGGTGGCGAAAATTTGTCAGATCAGTGTGCAGTATAACCTGCCCACTTCAATCCACAGCGGTGGATCGTGGCGAAACATTTTTGGACGCAACCCTTTTCGTAAGTAGCCTAGAAGCTATAGTCAACTCACTTGAAGCACTCAATCGGAGATGCTTACCAATTTTGAGTAGCCTGAAAGCTATAGTCGACTCACTTGAAGCACTCAATCGGAGATGCTTACCAATTTTTGAAGGTAGCCTTGAAGCTATAGTCGACTCATTTGAAGTGCTCAATCGGAGACACTTAATTAATTGCAAGCAGCCTGCTGACTGTAGTAAACTCTGGGGAAAAGGGTGGGAACCTACGAGAATCATTCTTGGGGTGGAACAAATTTGGCAACTGACAATTGCCCGCAAATTGACCAATATTATTGTTAACTCGTATTCTGCTCCGAGGAGATTCCCGGTAAATTTGAGAATTTAGTGAGAAAATCTGCAAGCAACTAATTAACGGTCGAATAAATAGACAATCAGTCGACGACCGCTGCTTGGAGAATAATGAGAAATGTAAAAGAGAGAGCAATTTTGATAATTTGTTGTATCTTGATTGTATCCAGTGGATTTTATATGATTTTATTGTTTCGAAATGTCATTTTCATTATTTTGATAATAAAGTTTGTGTTGGATTGGAAAAATCTCAAGGATGACAATAGAGTCTAACTTGATAAGACCAGTTCTGAGGGATTTTCCTTTCTCTATTTAATTAATTAGATTGAATAAATAAAATAATTAGAGTCAAGATTTTATATGATTACCGAAGCTCTCGTTAATTCCAAGCAGAGATTGTCGAGCTGAAAGAAATGAAAATTCTGTTTGGATACCGGGAGTAAAAAGAGTAAAATTGCAAAAAGCGAAGTTAAAATCGAGAATAAAATGAAAGACCCATGTACCGAATAATATTCAAAATTTAAATATCGACAATAAAAAGAAATTCAACTGTTAATGAATCGATAAGCCTCATTATTTTAAACCCTGGACAACTGAAGCATCCGGCAAAATGAGCACATATTAAGAATTTAAGAATTCAAGAAAGGTTCATTACAGTTTGGCGCTCGAACACAGGGACTCGAAATGAAAAAAAAATATATATATTTTTGAAAATAGTTTAGTAGACTCACCGATTAAAATTTATGAATAATTAAAATACGTAATTTTAAGAAAAAAGAATCTCGGTCGAAATAATTGAAACAATTTAATAAGCGGTAAAAATGGGTCCCAAAATTAAAGTATCGTGGATCTATGGACTTAACAGAGCACAACTGGTCAGCGAATTAGAACAACGAGGATTAAGTACAGAAGGTACAGTGGCAGATCTCAAAGCCAGATTAAGAGAAACTGTAGGTGCAGAAGGATCAACCCCAAACCTCAGCGGAGAAAACAGCAAGGAATCTAGTGCAAAGAGCAGTAGAAAATCGAGCCAAGAGAGTTCAAGGGACAGTAGCAGAGGTAGAATTTCTCTGAAGGATCTGAAGGAAGCGGGAACTAGTGATGGACGAAGGACTGACTTCTACGAGGAAAAGGAAAAATCAAAACAGGAAACAAGAAGGAAATCTGGTGAAAAGGAAGCAGGCTGAGGAATTGGCTAAGAAACAAATGCCTCCTCCTCTTACACCATTAAGAAAGAAAATCAAGATCATCTCTGATGAGAAGATTGATCCAGATGAAAAATTGTTTAAAGAATTGATTGAGAGATATCGTAAAGAGAAGTTGAGGAGTGGACAAACCACACCTGGAACTCAAACTCCAAGAAATGAAAGTCCTTCAAGACCCGGCACCCCGAATAAAGATGATCGACACTCCCCTCGAGCTAAAAGGAAAAATGATTATCCAGAGAGAGACTACTACCAAGCTGATAAATCGAGGATTCAAGATACCTATTATCAGGATAAGAGATATCATGATAGACCTAACGATTCATGTTCTCGTAGAACCACAAGTCCAGTGGATAGGCGTTACTCTAGAGACCATGATGAAGAACATAGACGAGTTGAAGAATTGATAGAATTGGAGAAGAAACTGGAAGAGAATTTGAAGAGATTGAAGGAAGAAAAAAGAAGGCTTCGTGATAACTCCGAAGGACGTAATAGAGACAGGGGTAGCTATGATCCACCGAGAAGACACTCGTATGAAGATGACTGGAGAGGACATGATAGTCGATACCATGATCCGTATCCCCATGATTATTATCAACACATGGAACCCAGGAATCCAG